TACATATATAATATGTAAAAAGCTTGAATATAATTTTCTCTTATGAATGATATTAGGTGCATTTGGATGAGTTATAACGGTTTTGTAAGTAATTCTAGCTATATAATGAGAAATAAAAGATCTGTGCCATTTTCAAAGATTGCTGTGGTGTCAAGACTTCTCTGTTGGGTGCCAGTAGCCACCCGTTTTCTTTTCTAAGATATGTTCATTAAAATATACAACAATGCCAATAACATGATTATGTATTAATCAACGTTCTTAAGTTAAATAGGTTTTCACTCTCATGCGAATGAAAATCATTGTGGTAAAGAAGCAAGAAAGAATTATAAAATATCTTCTAAAGAAGCATTTCTGCGAAACTTAGCGAGAAATAAAATCTTACGTCATTTTCTTTTAAATTTTTATATGAGATAAACCACAGAAATAAAAAAAAAATCTGAAAGTTTCCCGATTTTAAACGTCGCCCAAAAGTGTTTATTAACGTTTATTACGCTTTTGCTGAGCTCGTAGTCTACCACTCTTCTGTAGCACTATTTTCTAGTAATGCAGTTTTTTTTTTTTGGTCTTTTTAACTTTATTATTAAATGTCATCTTTTTCGCACTTACGCCATATACAATTCAACAACAAAATCAGAAAAATTTATAAAGCAGCATATGTTTAGAATTCTCAATGCAATGCTAAGTGTTGCTTTACATTTTCTACTTTTTTTCAGTCTTTAAGTTCAACATATGAATATCAACGTTCAGATTTCTTAGCAAGATAGCTTACAAAACTTTTTTTCTTTGTCTTTTTATTATTAAGATTTTGTGTGTTAACTTTGTTTCTTAAATATCACGTTCTTCGCAATTGGCGCTAGATAAAATTGATTTCCACAGCAAAATTACAAAATATTTAAAAACGACATAGCTTTAGAATTTTCGACAGAAAGTCTCGCGAGTTGGAGATAAAAATATTTCAGTCCGTCTTTCTCTTTAAAATCGATGAATTTGTTAATAAAAATTCATTAAAGTTTTAGAGAATATGAAATAAATAATAAAAACATATAACATCATTCTGTGATGATACGGAATATTTTTAATTAGATAAATCATCAAATATATGAATTTTTATTATTTAAATCAATCCAATTCAAGTGTCAGAAACGAATACTTATAAGAACTGCATCAATTGCTTTCAAACCGCTTAGTTTATTAATCCATAAGCGATTGATTCAGTTTGAAGAATAGATATTTCACAACTTGCCGAATGGCTTTAAGGTATTTCTCCCTGCCTTCTTAGCATGCCTTCGTAGTGTAGTGGTCTGCACTCTCGCCGCGTATTCGAGAAGCCCACGGTTCGATTCCCGGCGAAGGCGTAGCTCATTTTTCATCTCGCCTGCTTCCAAAAAAATATCTAATGTCTCTATAGTGGAGCCCGAACTAAAAAGGGTGGTGGATGATGATTCTTCACACCCAGGATTTGGCGGTTGTGTCCCCCTAACAACTCCAGTCTCCTTCAAAAAGGGGAGTATATAAGGTATTTCTCCCGCCTTCTTAGCATGCCTTCGTAGTGTACTGTTCTGCACGCTGGCCGTGGTTCCATTCACAGCGAAAGCGTTGCTCATTTTCCACATCTCCTGCTTCCAAATAACCTAATGTCTCTACATGGCAATAGATTCGAATGAAAATTGAAACGTCGTATTTATAGTGATTCGAAGGAAAATCCCAGACTTATCCAAATTATGCAGACTTATAATCGTTAATAATTAATCTTAATCAAATTATCCGAGAGTAATAACTCCTTTTGAGCTAATAACTTGTTTTTTTAATTTTAAAACTAGTGATTATTTATGAGCATATAGTATTCTTTCTTTTATACTTTTAGGTTGTATGAAAGAACGCAAAACCTCGCAATATACAATAAAAATAAGTGAAATTTGTATATACATATTTTTTTACACCTAATGGCTTTATCCTAGTTATGGGATATTCAGATATATCAAGGGGTGATGCCATTTCTTTAAATCAGGATTTTGCTATATATTGAAATAAGGGAATAGAAAACGGAAAGTCAACATGATGGAATAAAGACATTATATTCATGCATATTTATGTGTTTATAGTAATCTGCATTGAGTAGATGTAATTCTAATCAAACTCATATTCTTTTCAATTCAATTCGTAATTCTCTTCATTCGTGTGGCGTCTAGTCTTACGCATTCATGTATACGCCATTACAAAATCGCTTTTGAAAGTTCTCGTAACTTCACTTTTAAATTCAGAAGTTTGCCAGATCATTCTAATTAAATTTTACGTATGCCTTTCGGATATGTGTTTAATTATAAATTTATATCACATTTCATATTATCAGCTTGTTTTCTCTTGAGATGGACCCTTTTGTGCATCCGTGTTAATTCATTGAAGTTGAAATGATGTATTAATAAGAGATGCATTTAAATGTGCCCGGGAAAAAATCACTTCCACGCATTTCACCCCTTATTGGATTTGGAACATAACGAATTCCGCTGCCTGATCTGCATAAAATAATTTACTAATTACCCAAGGGAAGGGATGTAAATTAAACAACTCTTCGTCTAGAGAGATCTGAATTTGAGTTGAGTATTTTAACATGTTATGCGGTTAGGGCAAGAGGTTTTTATAAGAAGTTGAATAGTGATTAGAATTTTAAATAAACCTTAAAATAGAATTAAATACGAAAATTGTATTTGAATTTCGAATTTCTTTGGAACTAGTTTAGCTTTTTCTCTCCCCTCCGAGATTTATTTCTGCACATTAAATATTTGCATATAACATTTAAAGGCTCGAAATATTTATTACATTAGAATGTAAGTAAAAAAAAGGAATTCTTCATTAATTAAATATCTCATAATTATTGTGCCTTTACTTCGAAGACATAAATCTCCTTAATTATTTTCTTTAATTAAATGGTGTTAAGTACTCAAAGATGCATATTGTAATGAAATTATTGTAATGCATATTGTAAGATGCATATTGTAATGAAAGTAATAAATCTATCAAGCCTGCGCTATTTGAACTCATAATGAGAAAAACAACTGGGATCTTAAAGTAATACAAACTAATAAATACCAACTGGGTTAAATAAAGCTACACATGCACAACTTTTGAAATGGCATTCATGAAATACATTGCTACGAGCGTACAGGTTCGTAATGGATTCAACGCACACAGAACCGATGAAATTTTGGTGAAATTTATTTTTCTTATAACAGTTCTGAATCTTTTCACACAAAAGTACTCATAGAGCTGATCTCAGTATGATAGAGCACAATCAGTATTTACCACTTCAAACTAGTAAGAACGTTGAACACAAAGCAATGCAAAGCGCATTTCAAAGCGAAGCTCGCACGGAGATATCCACTCCTGTAAACTCCACTCAAAACTGTTCTCTCCGAACTTATATAATTTTCCCCGGTCCGGGTAGAAATTTCCAGTACCTGCGATTTCTCGAGACTGCTGGAAGGCATACACAGGTACAGCTACATGGGGATTGGATCAAAATGTCGCTAAATAGTTGCCGAAGCCATTTCTTGCCAAATTTGAGGAGAAAATAAGTCGCCAAAACAATCGCTAGCTTGGCGCGCTATCGTTTGGCAAAATGGCGAGATAGCAATTTGCCGCAGTGTTAAATGGACTTCCCCTTGTTACCCTATTTCTCCGGCGTTGCTTCGATTCTGAGGTCTTTCATGATATATTATATAAGAAATAATAGAATTTACACACAATTTCAATAAAAGTATTTACATATATACAAAATTCATAACAATATATACGAATTTAACTTTTAGAACTACTGTAAATGTGTTATACATATTGTCCGTGATTCTTATAATATTATATAGACGTTGATAGATCTAATATAAAGAAAGCAAGAGCAAAATACACCGATTTGCAAACACAAGAGAACTACAAAAGCCTTTTATATTCTTTTCTATGATGGCTTCATCGAAACTGTGGTTGAAAAGCTACAGAAATTCCATTTTATATAATAAGTTTCCAATACATTTCGAATCTATTTAGATAAGAAAAGTTAAAAATGTACACACGATACATAAATTTTTAAATTTGATTAAATCTGTTATTCTTAGATTTATCAATTTTACATCATTAATAACTCTAAAATTAAACGAACATTTAATTTAATTGCGTACGTATAAATTTTAAACGTATTGCGCAATTCCTCATAATCAATAAAATAGAAAAGTAATTAAAAAATGTAATTTCTTTAAGTCATTATTTTGTCATTTTCAGCTATTTCAAAACCTAAAATTAATTTATACGTCGTTAATAATTCAAATATTAAATTATCTTTTCAATGTAAAAGTATTGTTAATATATACATTGTTTTGCAACAGCTGCCGCATTGTAATTTAAATAGTAACAGGCGACTATAAAACGAAATAACAGTAACATTTTAGCAGTAATAATAATTAAAAATAAATAAATAATAAATTGATTCTTTAACTTGGACTATGTGTGCCAAGTAATCTCGATGATAATCTTTGAACTATGATTAGTTTAAATATGAAAAACTGAGTGTAATTTTTTACACAAAATTAAAGTAGTTACAACTATTCACAGTTTGCTAGCATATAGTTAGACTCTGTTTCAGTTATTAGATTAAGTAAATGATTGGATATCACCCAAAAGCCCACTCAATAAGATGCCAATATGAAATGGTTTCTAAAGGAAACTGTCTCGTAATTACGTTACACTTGGGGTAAACGACGGAACAATCTTTGAGATCATTTCATGACTCCACAGTGAATCGAAATCGAAACGTTACTACCTATACTCCAATGCTTTAATAAGATTGCCACGCATGAGCTACTTGCTCTTTAGTTCATTCCGAATCCAAAATTTTGTCTGAATTAGTCGACTTCAATATTTTTGCGAAATGACCGCTTATTCTTTCAGTTTAAATAATAACCACTTTTAAATATCTGTGCCGCCCAACCGGGATAGTAATTAGTAATACTTACTGCCGTACCAAAGGCTGGGAAACCCTCGGACCCGTCCCCCTCTAGGTATTCTCTATCAAAACTGGAGGCGAAACTAGCAAAGTCACTGTCACCTACACACTGCTCAAGGCCTTTGCCAGCGACAGGTGCAATATTGCGCTTCCTGCCCGATGAATATCGTGGGGTTGTTGTGACGTTGCTGCCAGATAAGTGAGATAAGTCGTAACACCGACAACAAAAATAACCCTAATGAAATCGATATTTATATATTCCCCTGATGATGACAGGCATGTGATAAATGATGAATTGCCGCAATTTGAAAGCTAATGCATTACCTCTTGATTTTCGAAGTTAAATCTATCTCTAGTTGTAAGTTTTAAAATGAAAAGGGAGTGAGTAGTAATAAACGTTCCATTTCTTAAATGCAGTTGTCAGAAATTTTATCACATACTGGTCCTTAATAGTTTAGCATATAAAAGCATATTTGGTGTATGATTTAATAATAAATAGAAGAATATTGGTTCTTGTATTGACGTGGAGTCTTCTTTGCAGAACATTTGTAAATTCATACTGAAAGAAAAAAACACTTTAGTAAAGAAAATTTTTCATGCTGAAATACTCAAGAAGTCTGAACTAGAAGTCGTGCGAATGAATTAATATATGTTTATGAATTCTGAATCACTTAATATTTCATATAATACAGATATTAGAATCCATTGTATTAAGCTGCACTAAAATTCCCCGTGTGTTTATAGTGTAAGGTATCCTTCCCTCCTTACCGCTCGCCTTCATGGTGTCATTTTAAGCACGTCCGACTAACAGTAGAGAATTAAAATCCCGACTAGAGCTTTGCACATTTTTCCTGTCTCCTGTTTCAGTATACCTAATGACTCTAAAATGGGAAACCGAACTAAAATGTGGTGTACAATAACTCGCACTGTCACGATTCGACATTAGGTTTCTGCCACCACAGTTCGTCCTTGAAGAGGGGGACAAGATGACGTGTTTCTACGTACCGCGTGACTTCGTGGTGTCATTGGAAGCTCGTCGAGGTGTTCTGGAGAGGTACGGATGATCCGGACTTAAAATCCTGCGAGAGCCTGATTCCTCCTTCGGCAAACTTAATGGCTTTACAACTGCTCTTAAATATTAAAATTTTAAATAAGAGGAGTAATAATTAGTGTTATTAATTTCTCCCAGAAAAAACATATGTAGTATTATTTTTGATAATTTAGGAATATAATTCATAATAACGAATACTGTTTTCTTAATTTATTTGTGTGCATATCTTCAAAGCCAACAAGTAACGGTAATAAGTAAGTCCAATATGTATGCCTTCTATCATTTGTTTTGACCTTGCTATAAAATTTACCATAATGAATAAAAGCTCTCTATATATGTGTGTTCTTGTATATCATGTAATCATAATGTTACATATGTGTCTCATTAGGCTATGCAGCAGTGTCTACAGCATCTTTTCAGGTGCTTACTGAGTTCCATATCCTACAGTAAACCATTACGAGTGCACGCATTTTCTGCAATATGAGTCACGCAGCGAAATTCATTTTAACGTAATCAATTGTAACTCCCAACAGCCTAGCAGTAGACGCAGCGCTATTATAGGATACAGATATTATCCGGCAAGCCATCATCGGAATTCTGTATGGCTAACACCACGACCTGGCATCCAAGGTCCTCCAACTTACAGGCATATTTTCGAAGATACAATTATCAATAAATTTTTCAAATTAGTATGTCTTATCTTTCCAATGAATTTGCCACAAAATAATATTTTTCTACTGCAAATGTTTTAACTTCATTTCATCGGGAACTTTCAATACACATAGTAGTAGTTACAATAGCTAATATAGTGTGCAAAAATTAAGGACGAGACGGTTTTTTCAATATAACTTTATACAAAAGCTTTCCAAATCAACACATTTAATACCGTAAGATCCCCAATACATAAGGACATGAGTAATGTAAGCAACACTTACTAAAAAGAGAAATCAGAGGGATAAAAAAAGCTTTATTGAAAAAGTAGCATGGAGCGCAATGCGAATGAAGGCCGAAACATCCCTGTAATGGGTGTCCAACAAGAAACATCCGGTGTTTAATAGGGGATATGATCTCCCCTCAATGCTAGGCAGGTTTCACAGCGTCTGCCCATGCTGAGAATGAGGGTGTCAATGAGTTGTTGAGGCATTGCTGCCCATTCGTCTTGCAGCGCCAATCGAAGCTCCGGAATCGTTACTGGTGGTAAGGTACGAGCTGCCAAGCGTCTGCCTAAAAAATCCCATACATGCTCGATGGGATTGAGATCCGGAGATCGTGGCGGCCAATCCATACGTTCAATATCCTCACTCTCTAAGAACTGTTCGGCAGCTACTGTGCGATGACATGGTGCATTGTCGTCCATGAAAAGGAACTGCGGACCCATAGCGCCTCTAAAAAGACGCATATATGGAAGAAGAATCTCGTTACAATAACAGGTCCCGTTGACTGAACCTGCGTCGAAGATGTGAAGGTCTGTACGACTACCAAGCATGATGTCTCCCCAAACGAGAACACCGCCACCTCCATACCTGTCCCTTTCAATGATGTTCGAGGGATGATTGCAGCTTCCCCGCTCTCTCCAGATGAGTATGCGATGAGAATCGCTACTCAGACTGAATCTGCTCTCATCTGTAAAGAGTACTCGTCCCCATTCATTGTCTCTCCAATTCCGGTGTTCCCGGCACCACAGAGAACGCCTTCTCCGATGGGCAGGCGTTAGAGGTACACACCGTACAGGGCGTCATGCAAACAGACCACCACCTTGCAGTCTTCTGGCCACGGTAAAAACGATATCGGTCGTCCAGTCGCCTGTGTCCTGTGTCTAGCGATTTCTCCCGCTGTCTGCTGCCTGTTTCTTCTGGCCTGTAAGGCAATATACCGGTCATCTGCGGGTGTGGTTCCTCGTGGACGACCACTACTAAATAGATACCCGGATAGCTGTTCCTGTAATTTGAAATTGTCTCCGAAGTCGTGAAACGATGCTGTGAGCAATTCCGAACTCTGCAGCCACACTTGTCACACTGCGGCCTTCCTCCAACTTCCCAATGATTTGACCTCGGGTAAAAGCATCCAGATGTCATCTAACAGATTGATCATTCGCCATTTCTCGCTGAGGCAGCAACTCGGTGTGATTTTAACTGCTATACGGCGTGCAATCTCTTTGCCAGAAATACTGATCTTACACCAAAAACATGCTTTATACTACTCAGACACTCCCCCATTACGTCTACCTGCATATCTGCGCATGTGTTACCGTACATCACCTTACTTAATCTCCTGATTGGTCTTTCTGTCCGCTCTGCCTCTTCGTTCAGCTGATATGCTAATTTTTCGACTTCGTCATTAATTTTTGCACACCAGTGTATACGGAAAGACTAGCATTCGGGTTCAGCATTAAAATAACCCAATCTTTCCTAGAAAATTAGTATGAATCTGAGATTATTTTTTCCCTGTTTCAGAGATTCAACGTTAAATTTAGCCCAAACCTTATCCTGACAATTATTTAAAAAGCATTTTAATGCATTCTCTACCTGGAAGAACAACAGCATGCCATTGTAAATGACTAGGAGAAATGTAGAACTGGAACATTATTTGCATTGAAAACTGATAATTCTTTTAACCATTGCAATCTGTACCTCCTCATTCAAACCAAAGCACTGAGGCTCCATTTCAATAAACTTTCTTTAAGAGCCATACATTCTTTTTGTGCGTTTAATCACAAGTTGTTGCCAAATGAAAATTATTAACTTTTACTAATACATCGAATGCAATGATATCTCCATTCTCTAAGAACAATTTTTTTTTGTACCAAAAATCAGGTATGTTTAGGTTGCCTGTATGAAAAAAAAATATGAGGCATATATAATACAGTTATTATTTTTTTGAATAATAATGCAGTTTGGACATTTTTTCAACCTTTATTTTCTTTTCATTGGCAATACTAATAAATACTTTTTTGAGTCGTCCACATTTAGATTTTTTAGTATAAAATTTAGGTAGTTTGCTGCTTTATAGTTTTATTATCAATAATTTTATTTAACTTTTATTTTGTAATTTGTTTAAATAAATATTTTAGTTATTGTAGAGACAATTTGGGGACAATATACATTAATAATTGCAAAATTACCCCCAAACCCAATTAAATATGTATATAAATTGAATTTATGCATAGCTGTTAAGAGACTTATATCAAAGAAATGTTTTAGGTGAAAATTTGCTTAAAACTCGAAAGAAAAGATATTTCAGTATTGGAAAGCGTTGCCAATATTTTTAGTATCAAAACAAAAATCCCGGATCTTCTCAATGTTCATAACAAACTTTTAATTGTTAAATATTATATTTAGCGAACATTACAGTATTAAATTAAAAATATTCAAGAGCTTAAAATCTTTCATTTCGAATTAATTCTCTTCGTTGAATGATGAAGGGAAAAAATTAAGCAAACACATTTCTTGAAATTATGCTTGAATCACTAAAAAAATTTCATTTATCGTTTCTGTTTACTTTAATAATTTTTATGCAGTCTGTTTATTTCGATGAAAAGATGCAGTTTTTATTGATTAAAATCTAGTCATTTAATTAATTTCTTTAACAGATTCTGTCTGTTATATGTTAAGAGTTGTTTTTTCTGAAAATATTTCTCTAATTTGGAAATTTAATGCTTCAGTTATTGGAAAAACGTTGCGTTATGGATTCTGTATCTATAGCCCGAGATTATGGTATTGGTTTTGCTTCGGTTAAATAATTTTAAGAAGTTTTTTTTTTTATTTATGAGAAACATTTTTATAAATGCTGATTTCTATAATCAGAATTTGAGGTTGTAAAACAGGTTTATTTCCAATCTCAAGATTGAGTTTTCACATAAATTTTCGTACATATTGTGTTACATGAATTATTAAAAAATGAATACTTCTTTGTTTATTAAAAACCTTATACCTGGTTATTTATTGTTCATTAGCAAAGCATTATTTTAAAATTTTTCGGTGAAATTAATCTTTCTATTTGCTCAATTAAAAATTTTTATTTGAGCTTTTTAATGCAATATCTCGTA